TTTTGCAACAGGCACATCAGAACAGTATTATGATGTTAATAGCTAATTGAATAAACAAACGTAGGTGTCCTATTTTTTAAAAAAACCCACCAAAACACATTATTATGGTATTATGATGTTAAAAGGCGCCCTGGTGGCATAGTGGTTACTCTTTGGGCTGCAGTCTGCAAGGTCAGCAGTTCAAAACCACTAGCTGCTCTTTAGGAGAAAGATGAGGCTTTCTACTCCTGTAGACTTAGTCTTGGAAACTCACAGGAGCAGTCTACCCTACCCTATAGGGTCACCATGAATCAGAATCGACTCGATGACAAGTGTTTGGGTTTTTTAATTACATTAAAGATGTTTTGGTGTACTTGGAAGTTTTGTGTTGTTTTTTAATTTTCATAGAAAGGCACTATACTTTGCACAAATTAAATGCTCATGCCTATATTGTTGTTAGGTGTTATCTAGTCGGCTCTGACTCATAGCCACCCTAACATTTAAAAAAATAAAAACGACTGCTCATTCCTGCGGCACCCTCACACGTGTTCTCCTGTTCAAGGCCATTGTGCCAGCCGGTGGGTCCGTCCATCTCATCAAGTATCTTCCTCCTTTCTGAAGCCCTTCTCCTTTCCCAAGCATGATGTCCTTTCCCAGCGACTGGTCTCCCCCGACACGTCCAAAGCACGAGATGACGTCACACGAGCCTCACTTCTAAGGAGCATTCTGGGCTGTACTTCTTCTAAAACAGATCTTAGAACAGTTGGACTTGGCAATCCATGGGACTGTCAATATTCTTTGCCAGCGCCATTGTTCAAATGCAACGATTCTTCCCCAACCTTGACAGGGCATATGAGGGGGCTTCATAAAGTTTGTGGAATAATTCCACTAGCTTTAGATTCTATGCTTCCACCCATCTTTTGAAGCGTCCTTCATATAACACGCCTACGACACACAGGAAATGCACCAGGGGTTGTATGGGTTGCCAAAAGCCCAAACATATTATGTGCGTTACTGGCATAAAATAAGGCACACTATATGCTAGGACATAGATTACACTAATTGACATTACATACAAATCAAACCCACCAGTTGTGACTTATGCAAAAATTCAACTTAATAGACGGGAATGGAATTGGTTCAGAATCTGGTGATTGCCTATATAGCCTATGGTGTTCATCCAACATCCAAATCACGTATGCTTTGTTCTACCGAGTGTTATCTCGGACATAAAAGGAGCCCTGGTGATATAGTGGGTTATGCATTGGGCTAATAACCATGAGGTCAGTAGTTCAAACCCACCAGCAGATCCTAGGGAGAAAGAGGAGGCTTTCTGCTCCCATAGTTACAGGCTGAGAAACCCATAGATACAGCTCTATTCCATCCTACAGGGTCTCTATGAAGTGGAACCAACTTAATGGAAGTGACCTTGGGGGTTGAGTCATGGTCATAAAGCAACATATGACTGTACACTTCAACTCCCTGTGAGCAAAGACAAAAATGTGTGCTAATCTTTCTTTCCCAAGTCTACGAGTTTTCATCCACAGGATAAAATGTTGAACAAGATATGCACAAATGTCCCCTTTGGCAGAGCTGGTTCTGGAGACACTGCGATGAAGTTGGCACAATGCGGCATTCTATTAATGTGGAAATCTGTGAGCAGCTGCAGGCACTGAAGGCCATAGGTCCCTCTTCTGTATGTATGGATCGGTCTCGGAAAAATTAAAAGATGCAAAAGATACTTCTCCCAGAGTCTAAGGTAAAGGTTGCCTTAGGGTACCCTTTGGTTTTGCTTGGCTCTCAGTGTGTGTGTGGCTGTGTGTGTGTGTGTGTGTGTGTGTTATTTTAATTGGTACCACATTGAAAAATTGGGATGGCATCTGATTTCATCCAGACTTTTGGCTTCTCTTGAAAGACCGGAAGGTCTGGCAACAGTGGACTGACAGCAATTAGCTCGAGGTGGGGAGCAGCTGTCCCTTTTGGATAGGGCACCTGCTCTCGAGTTTGGTCTCCACCATGCACATTAGGGTGATCATATAATTTTTCCAAACGATGGCGCTTTAGTGATTAAAGGGGGGGGGGGGCTGTTAGTAAATACGCCTGGCTCACAGGCATACCCGAGGATGACTGTCAGGAACAGGATCCGTGGATACCCAATTCACAATTCTCAGGCGGGGCTCGCCTCATCCTTCTCTGACAACGGTGGTGTGGGTAATGTGGTCCTCTATCAGGGAATCTCATGAGAGAGGAGAGAAAGGGTATACAATGAGGATGAAACGTGCGGCTGAAAAGAAAGCTGAGAAAGAAAAAGAGTATTACAATGAATGCCAAAGACACCAAACCTTTAGGTAAAGGCAGAGCCTTGCTAGTGGCTGGCTCAGCGTGTAAGTTTGACCTTCCTGGCTCCCTACCCTACAAAGCACTGTCAGTTTTAATAAGCTGTAATCCCGTAGCTACAAGCGAGACTAATCAAACTGCAGAGAGCGGCCTGTTCCTAATCAGGAAGGCACAGGATAATCATTTAACTCTGCGGTTTCTCAGTGAGCTCCAAGCTGCCTTTACACACCCCTGCCTCCCCCTCCCCCAGCACCTCCCCCCCCACCCATTCCTTACCCCCCACAACACACCCCACCCACGCCCAATAAAAGTAGCTTGCCACAATCTAATACGACTCTTTGATGGTTTTTGAAGTTTTATTTAAATGTTTTCATTATGCAAGTATTTGCTTTACAAAAAAAAGGGGGGGGGCTAGAAGAATCCTTTTCCCATATTCTTTAGTCCTTTATTTTCAGGGAATAACAAGATTCCTCCCTTAAGCCATGCAGATGTCTATTGATTATCCATTTAAATTGATCACACCCACCAGCCCCATTTAAAATCATCTAGGGTATAAGGCAGCGGTTATCAACCTGTGGGTCACACCCCTTTGGGAGTTGAACGACCCTTTCACGGGCAACGCTCAATTCATAACAGTAGCAAAATTACAGTTATGAAGTAGCAACGAAAACAATGTTATGGTTGTGGGGGTCACCACCACATGAGGAACTGTATTAAAGGGTTGCAGCATTAGGAAGGTGGAGAACCACTGGCTTAAAGGATCATATTCCTCTTCAAAACAAGAGTCCTGCTGGCGCAGTGGTTACACAATGGGCTGCTAATTGCAAGGTCAGCAGTTCAAAACCACCAATTGCTCCTCAGGAGAAAAATGGAGCTTTCTACTCCTGAAAATGATTAGTTTTGGAAACTCTAAGGGCAAGGCCAATTCTACCTTGCCCTATAGGATTGATATGAATCAGAACTGACTCGAGGCAGTGAGATTTTTTTTTGCTTATTTTGAGGGTGTGGTTACTGTCCTAACACCCTGGGTGTGGGAGGTGGGATGGTGGGTAGAATGCCAATCCATGTTGAGCAGCTAGGGGGCACCACTATGCTGCTATGCAGTCCCCATTGGGAGGGGAGTTGAATTGCAGCACAACTCTTACAGCACCCTTCGCCTCAGAACCAGAGGGCCCTCCCCTCTACCTATTCAGGACTCCCTAAGATAGCGGTTCTCAACCTGTGGGTCACAACTCCTTTGGGGGTCAAATGACCCTTTCACAGGGGTCGCCCAATTCATAACAGTAGCAAAAAGACAGTGATGAAGTAGCAACGAAAATAATGTTATGGCTGGGGGGGTCACCACAACATGAGGAACTGTTTTAAAGGATCCTGGCATTAGGAAGGTTGAGAACCACTGCCCTAAGAGAGCACCCTCTTCAGCCCAGCGGTCCTGAGGCACAGGTCTGTAGGAAGCGATTGGGAGCTATAGGTAACAGCTGCGCTATGTTGGGCAGCCCTAGCATCAAACCTGGGAACTGCTGAACCTTCTGAGAGTGATCAACCTTCCCGAGACTCCGTTCTGTGACGCCCGTCTAGTGGTCACCAGACCTCACAGCGAAGCTCTGAGGGCCAGTGAGCCCAGTATGGAAGCATCTACCAAGAGCCCGAACATTAAAAAATGCTCCTTTCATTGTGATTTTTTATGATGTGCTAGCATGGCTGTTAAGAGCTCTCCCTACACGATTTAAAGAGCAGGTCAGGGGCTCTCCGTCATGTGCATCACCGTGTTAACATCCCTTCTTCAGGCTCTGCATTCAGCATGAGTGTCCAATGTCAAACAGTATTGTTTTCCAATGAGAAATCTCCAGAGCCTTTTTGGAACCATGGCAATTTAATGTTTTGATAAACTCACTACCATTTACAGAAAGCAAGACACACTGAATTTAAAAAAAAAGAATTTATTGGCTATTGTCTTTGATAGTTTTACTGTATTAAAAGGCAGAAACATTTTTCCAATGTGCTAATAAGGAAAAGGCTCAAGAAACTGAACCACGTTGGGCAGAATTTCAGTGTTTAGGACATACATAAAGCCCATACATTTTACATGAATTCTGGGATACTTATTGATACTCCTCCAACTCAGTGGCCTTGGCAATGGACAGGAATATGAACTTACCCGATCCAATTACATTTCAAAGCAATCCAGTCCTTGAGAGCCAAAACTGTTCTAAGTACCCTGTGCCATTCATAGAGTGGTTACAGGAATTTCCGTGAATGTAAAACTACAGCAACGATGACTAGTAAGAGGCAGGCTACAGGGACGGGCTCACCACACCTAAAAGCATAACTACATAACGCCTTAATAGAATGCCCAGGAACGCCCACTGAAATGATGAACTGAAAAACAGAGCACAAGAATATAAAAACACACACATTTCTCCGCCTACAAAAACACTCATCGTTTATGCTTTTGCTGATGTTTTTTTAAAAACCGTGTGTAAATGTGTATAGAATGGAAACACAGAAAGGACAAAGGAGAAAATAAAATCATCTGACAAGTCACTGCTTAGAGTAAAGTGACCAGATGTTAACATTGGTAAAGCGAGTCACCAGTGATAAAACCCATATCCTGCTGAAATAGCCACATGGCAGCCGAAAACCGTATACCCTAGCTTGACATGCATTCTTTCCAAAATTCGGGACTTTTTAAAAACGCCGCAGGACGCGGGAAACATTGTTAAAAATCGGGACTGTCCCGCCAAAAGCGGGACGTCCGGTCACCTTAGCTTAGAACTCACTATTTACAGAAGGCGAACTGTCCGTCTAGACGCATGCATGCGACTGTCACCTGATCCTGCATGGCTAAACTTCCAATCAGGCTGCTAGCAATCAAGAAAGAGGCAAGCAGGAAGGTTATAATCCTAACCTACACCTTTCTGTTTCCCAAATTGTAGAGCGAGATGAAATCTCAAAGGTTCATTACATCCTATCCACTCTGCTTTTCCTCATTTATTCAGGAGGAGAGCATCAGGGGAGACTAAGTGACCTGTCCAGGCGTACCGCCCAGCTCTGCTGAAACCTAATCCTGTAGTTGCCCAGGCAGGGCTTGGTCACAGCACGCAAAAACTGCGAGCGCGGGGCAGCAAGTCCAGGCTTAGACTGAATCCTGAGGCTGGAGGACAGGCCACAGTGGTCTGTACGGCCAGAGGAAACAGCCCGGCAAACACTCAGCTCCTGACAGACAAGGATGGCAACTCTAGCCAGAGTCACAAATAAAGCCCGTGGCCAAATGAAGGACTGGGCCCTGGACCAACTGGTCAGGGGAGCGACGTGGTCCAAAGAGACGATGCTGGTTAAGTCACACGAGAGGTGACCTGTTGATTGGCGGGACTGCTCAGAAGATGGCAGAGTCCCAAAGGGCCCTTTGAGAATGTGAGGGGGCTTCAAAAAACCGTGTGGAAAAATTCTATTATTGTTTCACTCCATTTCCCACAGACTTTGTGAAGCCTCCCTGTATATATTAAAGCACACAGGAAGCAAGTCCCAGAGGCTCCTTAGACATTTCCACACAACCCACGGGATTGGTTTACTGAGCAATAGGGCCTGGGGCCACCGACTTGGACGGACCACTTAGTCCATCGTCAGAGCAGAGTTCACAGTGATAATGTTCCACGTGCTAGTTTGGAGAGCAGCGTTTGGGGTCTTAAAAGCTTGTGAAGAGCCATCAGAGACAACTGCTGGCTTCTGTCCGGATCCAGCAGAAAACCGTGAAGGGACTCAAAGGCTCCAAGAAACCAGTGCGTGGAACTAATAGCCCACATGAACCATAACACCTTCTAACCCGAGACCAGAACGAGATGGGACCTGGCGACCACTACCAACTGTCCTGACCACACGATAGAAGGTCCCAGGAAAAATGGAAGGAAAACATGCAGAGAACAGCTATTCTTAAAAAAAAAAAAAAAGGCCAATAGACACAGGAAGAACCCTCAAGACTATTGCCCTAATAACCTTGGAACTTGAAGCTATTTCTCCAGGTTACCTTTTAGCCAAACACAGACTGACTGCCTTATAAACTAAGTATCACTGGTGCGTAATGTGCTCCCTTCAGCAATTAACTCTATGAGCTCAAATGGCCAACATGGATCCAAAAGTAGAGAGGGGAAGGCAAGCTAGATCAACCGGAATGGAACAAGCAGAATGTCAACTGCTGTAAAGGTTGCAACCCAGAACAACTCGTATAAAAAAAAACAAAACAAGGGAAATCTAATTTGTGTGTCAACTGTCACCTACAACATAAAATATCATTTACAAAAAGAAGTCAGCTCTCACGATGACTGCATGAGGATGCGCTCTTTCAGCTGCACCCACTGGTCCTTTCTCAGTGCTTCTCGGATGGACTGGAAAAATCCAAAGTAGTGCTCAAAGTTGTGCATCATAAGCAGGACGCCGGCCAGCAGTTCGTTGGTCACCAGCAGATGGTGGATGTACGCCCGCGTGTGATTCCGGCAGCAGTAACAGCCACACCCGCTCACCAGCGGGTCAAAGTCCGCCTGGTACCTGAGAAAGGAAGGCACCGTGACACAGCAGAAAGGGGAGGGGGCTGGGCCGGGGACTGACACGCAAGAATACTGCTGCTCAGTGCTCGGCCTGCAACGTGGTCCTGGGACCACAACAGAGCTGGATCTGAAAAGCATATTCCAGACACAAAGGAACACACATGGGCTCCATCTGTACGAGATATCTCTATGTAGCAAATGCATCGAAACAGACGCAGATGCAACGTGGCCAGGACCCAGGAGGAGAGGGCAGTGCAAAGCAGGTCTAAAGATGACTTCAAGGGGCAGGGCTTCTGTTTGGGGTGACAAAAATGTTTTGGAAACAAAATGGTGATGACTGTACAACACGGCGAAAGTTATTAATCTGCTGAACTTTATACTTTGAAATGATTAAAACATCAAATGACTAAATACTTGAAAATGATGAAAACTTTATACTTTAAAATGCAAATTTTAAGCCATGCCCGTTTTACCCACACTGATGATAGCACAAAGTTAACACATACACTACTACAAAGCCCCACCATGAGACGTGGAGGCCCACGAGTTTTCCTCTGGGAGATGCAACCTCCGAGAGGAGAGTTACAAAAGGACCTTGGGCGAATCCCTGCAGCCATCACCCATTCCGGGTGCTGTGTGTCACGCTGTCACGGCACGGCACGGAATCCTCGGAAACGCGGGTCTTCTCACCCACGTGCCACCAGAGCTAGTGTCGGACGGCACTGCGGGCGGCAGTTTACAAAGCGCTTTCACCTGCTGTCTCACTTCCTCTCAACCGAGCCGCTTGCCGGCGGGTGTTTTATTGGCGGGACGACTCCGGGGGCCAGAGCTCTGCTGCGGCTCACCGCTGCCTTCAGGTTGCCTCCTCATCACAAAGGCGAGCCCCTGAGCGCCCGTCCCTCTGCGTTTGTGAGCCGAGGCTGGTAAGAGGAGTCGTCCCCGCGGCGGAGTGCTGGTGGGGAGCAGACGGTGAGGAGTGTGGCAGCCTGAAGTGTTCCTTCCAGCTATTAGCGAGAAGACCTTGAGTGACTTGACCGATGTCGCACAACCACGGATACATACGGTTAGCATTTGAACCCAAAGTCTCCCAAGGTTCAGCTCGAGTGCTGATAAGAAGGACCCTACAATTTCCAATGAAAGCGATCTGGTCAAGGGAAATTTGGTAGGCACCTTTTCTACTGCCCTGACCTGGCAAAGCAGAACGGAAGCACCCCGGCTGTTTCTTATAACTCTAAATGTGGTTGTTGGGGGCTAGGTGCGGAGTCAGTGCTGACCCATAGAGACTAAAGAATGAACCACTGCCCTGGGCGGCGCCACCTCGCCGTCCTTGCAACGCCGGAGCTCCCTGTTGCAGCCACTGGGCCTATCGTGTTGTGGGTCTGTCTGCGTTTCACTGACTCTCTATCAACCCTGATGTCTGGCCCCAGAGACTGGCCCCAACTGCTAACGTCCACAGTACGTGAGACAAAGTCACCCTTGCGTCGCCGGGGCTTTCTGCTTGTACTTCTTCCGAGACAGATTTGTTTGTTCTTCTGGCCACTCGTGGCATATTTAAGTCTTCGCCACTCTCCCTTCTTCTCTCGTCTGCCTTCTTCACTGCCCAGCCTCCACACGCACCTGAGACAACTGAAAAGAGCATCGCTTGGGTCAAGTGCACCTTAGTCCTCAAAGTGACACCTCTGTGCTTCGACACTTTAAAGAAGTCTTACGTAGCAGATTTACCCAATACAAAATGCACCTCGATGTCCCACTTCTGTGAGCAATGATTACAAAGTAAAACGAAATCCTTGGCAATTGAAATCTTTTCTCTGTGTATCATGATGCTGCTTATTGGTCCAGTTGTGAGGAGTTTAGTTGGATGCTGAGATGCCATCCACACTAAAGGACGCAGGCTTTGATTTCCATCAGTAAGGGAGGGCTTCAAGTCCTCTTCGCTTAAAGCAAGCAAGGCCGTGTAACCTGCATACTGCAGACTGTCAATGCGCCTTCTTCCAAGCCCGATGCCACGCGCTTCTTCCTGTAGCCCAGCTTCTGGCTCAGCAGACAGACTGAATGAGAACAGTGGATGGACACCACCCTGGGGCGCACCTTTCCTCATTTTGAACACACAATTCTTCTGTTCTGCTAGTCTGTGTGGTAGCCATTAATATTTCAGAACTACATTTAAGAAACACTGCTCCCCACTCCACCCCAAAACATAGATAGGAACAGATTTTCACATTCTCTCTCAAACTGTCAATGCCTGTGTGATTACTGCAGACGTGAAATCTTTGACTAGACACTGCTCATTCCCATTTTGGACCAAATAAAAGGCTAGGCGACATCTTGGTTCCTTTCTTGCAGAGCAAATATTGGAAGATTTATAACTGATCTATAACTAAAAACATTTTAAAAAAAACTTGTCTGAATTTTCATTTTGAAATCCTTACCCTACTCCGTCATTAATTTTAGCCCCCAAACTCACTGCTGTCAAGTTGATTCGGGACCACAGCAACCCTACAGAACAAAGTGGAACTGCCCCAGAGCACCGCCATGGTGGTACTACTTGACGGAAGCAACCGGCCACATCTCTCTCCTGCAGAACAACTGAGATGTTCACATGGTCAACCTTTGCTTAGCAGTTGAGGGCTTACCAGCTGCACTCTCTGGATCCTCACATGTCAAATACTACGGCTGCTGCCGTTAAGTGTGGCCAAGTTAGTTCCTAACGACCCTGTGTACAACACAGCGACCCGATGTACACCAGACTGAAGCACTGCCTGCTCCCGGCACCAGGGGGAAGCTTGAGCCCATTGTCGTAGCCACTACGCCATCCATCTCCTTGGGGCGTTTCCTCCTTCTCTGCTATAAGGCACCAGTGCAGTGGATTTGGTGTGATCTTCCGATGTGGTGGTCGTTAGGTAGCATCCAGTCGGTTCTGACTCAGGGACCCTATGTACAACAGAACGAATCACTGCCCGGTCAGGCGCCGTCCTCACCACTGCTCTGTTGGGGCCCAAAGCTGCAGCCACTGGGTCAGTCCATCTTGTCCAGGGCCTTCCTCTTTGCCCTGCCCCTTTACTTAACCAAGCACGGTGTCCTCCTCAGGGACTGGTCTCTCTTGACGGCATGTCCAAAGTGCGCGAGGGGTCTCCCCACCTGTGCTGCTAAGTCTCACCATCCTTGCCTCTAAGGACCCGTTAGGCCGTGCTCCCTCCAAGACGGATCCGGTTACTCTTCTGCAAGTCCACGGTACTTCCCAGATTCTTTGCCAGCACCATCATTCAAAGGTAACCATTTTTCTTGGGTCTTCCTTGTAAAGCAATCGTTCTCCAACCCTATAGGTTTTCTGTTACGCCAAAATACACTTTCAGAAATGTTTACAGTCATAGAAACAGAACAATCACACGAACTTTTAGAACAGGCTGAAATAAGAAATGGACTGAAGTCGGGTATCAAAATCCCAAGTTAAAAAAATTCTTACCTTTTTTCCTTCAGATTAATTTCAAATGATGTCATTTCTTGAGTGCTTTCAGTTGTTTCAATGTTCCTTGTTGGGCCCAGATATTTTATTTCCTCTGGTGTCCCATTTTGTTGTAACACTAAAGGATAAACCAATAAAAAGTCATGATTGAAGATCAGATGTAAGGGGAAGCCACGTGAATGTGTGCTTTAGTATCTTTATTATTTCATGCCCTCTGACCCTGTAATTCCATCTCTGAGAATTTATCCTAAGATAATCCCAAACACAAACAAATAAAAGTAGCAATATGCACCAAGATGGGCACTGATCTGTAATCTCTGATATCAAAACTATTTAGAGATCTGACAATGTCTAGGCAAATTAGGTTACAAAACCATATTCTTATTGTCAAGAAATAATTTCAAGAAGTTGCATGTTTGTGTGTTACAAGGAGAATAAACATGCGTGGGTGTCCATGTCTCAATGTAATGCACATGCTGTGTAACTAATCCATTTGAGAGAGAGGCAAAGAAGAAGACGGCTTTAACGTATACATTCTACATAGAGACTTTGACCTGGTAGGGAACCCAGATTATCTAGAATCACATAGGTGTGCCCTTGAACTCTGCTTTCAAAGCAAACATTCCTAGAAATACAAGAGACACCTGCTACGATATGAAGAGCCAGCTGCCTTGAGAGGGCCAACGAGGGAAGAGGCACTTCTGGGAACGCGGGCTAACAATCTCAGAGTCGAGAGCAAGCAGTTGGTTCTACTAACGGAGAGCCTGCAAACGTCGAAGGAAGACGCGGCGGGACCTGAGCACTGAGCACAGCGCGGCTCCTTTTTTGTCCTCAGGAATTGGCCTGCTGAGGTGGGAGGTCATGGTGAAGCTCTTCCTGCTAACAAGCTTGGCCCTGGCATTCTGGAAAACTCCTGTCACTAGGGGAGATTGCTGCTTATATTGGACAACTTATTTCTCTGGGACGGTCACTTTGTAATCAGTCAAGGACTTGAATTAAGATCCACATGCACGTATGGACACACAAACAAATATGACTAGTAGCAATAGGTTCACGTAAATGCTCACACTACTTGAGTTTTCCAAGCCATGAAAAACAGTTGGCTTTCTCTGGCCATCAAGAGACCTGTCTGTCCCAGAAATCAACCGCAGTTTCCCTCGGGGCCTTGCACATGCATAGTCCTGACAGAAATTAGTGAGTCCAGTCAATGAAGTCACGGACATTGACCAGGTGTCTGTGGGAGGCCCGTTCACACATCGGTTCCGGCCGGCCTAAAGGACAGACTGGTTTCTCGGGTCAGTCTGATTGATCTTGTTTCCAGAAGTAATCTGAGGAAAGCTGGCGCATCTTCTGAATCCAATGTTATTAACTAGTGGGAAATAAAGCGAACCTTTACAAAAAATCTTCCTGACCCTGTTGAAACTTAAGATTAAAGACTTGCCAGGGTTAGTAGGAAAAGGAGGCAAGTCCATTCTGGAAGCCACAGGGAAGGCTGGGCACGTAGCATCCTCCCCAGCCCCACAGCCTGGACTCCAGTTCCCGGTCCACTGCCCACCATGTGATCTTCTTGCTTTCGGAAGGACTAGACAGTACAGAGAGGGGAAGTGCTTCAAAGCCACATCAGCAGAGGAAATCAGCTTTCATGTCTCGTAGGTGGAAAAAAAAACAACAAACACTAAAAATCTAGGATGGGAGAGTGGTGTGAGACCCCCCTGTACAGTGCAGGGCTTGCAAAACACAGACAAGAATCCTTTGGTATAAAAACTAATTAAGCAATTCAAAGGTTTTCTTTCCCTAGCTTGTCATCAGTGTTCACGTTGGATGCTCTTTTGACAGGGTGAGAGAGGGGGCTTCTTTTCCTTGGCTCTGTTCACTACCACCGCCTTCCCTAATCGCCAGGAGCTTCATGCAGCACACGTTCCTGGTTCTGTACGTCAACGTGCCGGGGCACCGAGATAAGAAAGAAGTATTCTTATAAAAGGCACCTTGTATAGTACAAGGGAGCTTCTAAAGGTTTGTGGGAGAATTCACTGTTCTCTTAACATTCCATTTTCCCCTGACCTTTTTGAAGTCCCCTGGTACGTATAGATTTCTGTCTTGTGACTACAGCCAAAAATGAATGGAAATTTAGGGTAACGGGTATTACGTAGCTGTAAATGACCTACGCGTCTCTTCAGGATCCAGCTGGTAATCAAAGCTGAACGTCAGGGCGCAGCCCCGCTCTGTCACTTGAAAAGGGAAAAAACTCTCAAACAGGTCCACTCCTCTTTCAACGCATGCTAGCACTTCATCTGGCCGGCTGACACCACAGATGAGCCTGCGAAGACAGCAATCAGCACAGACACATGAAGGCGCAGAGAGGGTAATAATGAAAAACTCCACTCACCGTCACAATGGCCGGCACCGACGAGCAAGGTGTGCTGGAAAGAACGTAGGGTTTTGCAGGTAGGTGCCTGGGCTCTGCTATTTAGTCACAGGCTCTAGGATTTGGGGAAGGCTTTTGACCTCACGGAGCCTCAAGTTTTTCATTTTCAGAACCCAGGTCAATGATAACAGGATGCTTCGAAAAGCTGGTGGGAAAAGACCAATTCTCTTTCATTCCAATTTTCGTCTAGTTTTGAGGTTCCCATCCTACATACCCCACAGGACCATGTTCGAAAAGCACATGGTACAGCGTCTGAGCGTAGAGCGAAGCACCATAAAGGTGCGTTACCTCCTCTCCCTCCGAAGTAAGCGCTCTCATCTTAGATTGGACTTTACATCCTGTAACACTATAAGGAGTCTTCAGAACCTTCATGCAAAATTCATATTTTGAAAAATGATGCATGGGTGTTTTGGTTTTGTATCAAAACAAACCCAAACTCACTTGTTGCAACATGCTGAGCAGGACCTAGTTTGAAGCACTAACTAGGCTATCAGTATGAAAAGATGCCCTACCAGAAATACCACGAACGCTGTTAAAAACCAAAGAAAGAACAAATGTCACATTTATGGAGAAGCATGGGTGGACGGATGGTGAAATCTTGATGCTTTATGAAAACTTTAAGGGGGACCATGCCACAAAGAAATCAGCAATTCTCAAATGGATCACCCGTTTTAAGAAGGGACAAGATGATACGGAGGATGGATAAGCTCTCAGTGGCAGACCAGCCATATTAATTTGCGATGCAACAAACTTAGACGGATCTAGTTGAAGAGGATCAATGATTAACAGCAGAAACACCAGCCAGGGCCACTGATCACTCAAATGGTTCCGTGCTGTTCAAGAACACTCAAACACCTCACTGCCATTGAGTTGATTCTCATTCATAGCCATCCTATAGGACAGAGAACTGGCCCCGTGGGTTTCTGAGCCAATACATCTTTAGGGGAGTAGAAAATCTCATCTTTCTTGTGGTTAACGGTCCAACAAGTAACCTTTTTTTGTAAGATAAAAGAGTGAGTATTCACATCTAGCAGTCTTTTTTTAAAACATTAAAAACCGAGTTTGAAATGAAAAGTTAAAAAGTCCATTGAGAAATCAGCCACCCTCAGAAACTTAGCGGATCACCTCTTCTCACTAATAGGGACTCTGTGATAAAGGAACATGTGGGAACCAAACCAACAAGGGTAGCCAAGACCCTGGGTAAAAAAAATAAATAAATAAAAAGAAAGGCATCACTCCCTACCTGGATCAAATCCAAGAATGTCTAAAGGTCCTTATTAGCGAGTCCTCCCCTCCCTGCAGCCCCCCTGCCCTATCTGTCTTCACCTTCCCTTGATTTCAGTCAGAGTTCCACACAACTTTATATTTGTCCCCAGGTAATACATCAGCATGAATAACGAACAGCATTTGCATTTGGTCAAGAATAAAGGGCACCAGTATAACACTTGCCCTCGCTTAGACTGAGGAGCACACACAATGTTCCTTTGGTCTATAATCTGAAACCAAGAGAAGAGCCTCAAAGCCAATCCCCTCAGTCAGCCAGCACGTTTCAAATCAAAAGATGAAAGCCTATGGCCATGTACAGACTGCAAGAAACACACAGAGTTAGCCAGCACCCCAGCCCAGCCTGCTGATGTACAGACTGCATGGAACACACAGAATCAGCCAGCACCCGAGCCCAGCCTGCGTCTGAAGTGGATACAACCTTGGCTTGTCCTCCGGCAGCTCAGCAGTGACTGAAGACAGCAAGTGCAGACCAGTCTCCTTGGTCATCGGATCACCCTGAAAGCCATCCAGAAGGAAGCCACCTACAGGCCTCTTGGCTGTCTCTCGTGCTGATCTCAGCCTCTCTTCCATCACATCTCCACCTTCAATCACTCCAATGATCACACTTTTCTGAAGGACCTGCGAGAAGAAAAGACCGTTTTCAACCGTTGACTGCAGTAAAGACCTTTGTTTCAGTGGACTTTACACGGACGTCCACTGGACCGAAGAGATCTCAGGGGAGCTGCTGCACTTGAAGCAGGCTAGGAGATGCTTCCAACCCTTCCTCTCCCTGAGAAGCTTTAGGATTCCAAGGAACACAATTTGAAAGCCACTGGAATTGACAAGGAAAAACTGGATATGCCGAGGTCATCAACATAGGTGGTTATATTTTCACAGTGAGGGAGTATTAGTGGGGAAAGACAAAAAGGAACAGGTTTATTTTAATTTCAGTGACTACCCAAGCCTGCTTTAGGCCACCTCTAGGTCTGTTGGTTATGGGCAACTTTTTCTCACTGCCAAGGAGTTGATGCCCACCTTATAGGACAGGCTAGAACTGCCTCTTGTGAGTTCCTGAGACTGTCACTGTTTCTGGAGTAGAAAGCCCTGACTTCCTCCTGAGGAGTGGCTGGTTTTGAACCGCTGAACTTGTACATAGATGGGCAACCTGTAACCACACTACCTCCTGGGTCCTATTGACAGATACCTTTAGGAACTCAGAAACTGATGGGCTGGGAAAATAGCTACCCATACAGAAAAAAAAAAAAGATCTCTACTGTCAACCATCCTCGAGAATAAATTCCAGGCATATCTAACACCGAAACATTAAAAACTATAAATATATATATATAGTTACTCTGTTTTAGACATACAAATGGTGATTGTCGGTCTGGCTCTGAGCACCTGGGGATGAAACTCACTGGCTACCTACGGCCTCGCAGTCCTTGGAGAAGGAAGGAAGGTCAATGATAGAACCCTGAGAGCGTCAATGGTTAAGGGCAGCACACTAGACAACAGCTCCCACATAATGCCAAGCGAGCATGAGGCCGGTGGAGGGCAGGGCAGGGCTGGCCTGCTGCACGGAGGGTCGCCCTGAGCCGGCACTGACTCGGCAGCAGCAACCATCTACAACAGTGAGGAGAATGAGGGCGGAATCACGGGAAGGGAAAACAAAAATCTCTGCAGGTACACCAAGTGAACGCTCACAAAGGCACCGGCTGTCCTCTTCTCTACACATCCGGCATTACTGGCTCAGAAAATAAAGCCGCCGCCATGATGTAGACCCGTAGTGATGTCCCCACTCTGAACCCCTACTGCAGTTACCCCGACTCCTATTCAGAATAACTAAAAAAGCAACAAACCAAAAACACCCCAAATAGAAACAAAAGACTCTGGCTACCAAGTCAGCGAGGACTCATAGTGACCTTCTGTGGCAACAGGACACAGCTGCTCCATAGCCTTGTCTGGGCTGGAATCACCGGCCTTTCTCCCACAGCCACGGGGAGGGTTCCAAGTGCCAACCCACAAACCACTTGTGCCACCTAGAGTTTCCTCGAATTATTTTCTGTATCTTTATTCGCCAAATTTAGAGTTTTTACTGGTACACTCGAAATGGCAATATCCTCAAGCCCTAAGTGGGACCTGAGCATTGCGCGGGGTGATGCCTCCTAACATCATCTCAGAATTCCACTTCCGGGTCACCATTCCTCATCCCCCCACCTCCTCGACGCTCTTCAGATCTCTTTTCTACTCCACCCGTCCTGCCATCAGGACCGCTGACTGACTGCTTGGTGTCATCGGCCCTCCACACCCCGCACAGTCCTTGACCAACCGCACACGCTGGCTGCGGGCTCGCCATGCGAGGCACTGCACTAGGTCAGTGGTTCTCCACCTTCCTAATGCGCGACCCTTTCACACGGTTCCTCAGGTCGGGTGACCCCCGCAACCATAAAGTTATTCTCGTTGCTACTTCATCACTGTCATTGTGCTACTGTGATGAGTCGGGCGACCCCTGTGAAAAGGTCGTTCGACCCCCAGAGGGGTCGCGACCCACAGGTTGAGAACCGCTGTGCTATAGGACGCAGACACCGACATAACACGCAGAGACAGCTGAAGGAACCGAACAGAACAACGCTTACAGAGATCATTTCAGTCCTGTGGGATTAAAAATAAGGGCAAAGGACGAACAGAATGGTTCTCCTGGAAGAGAGCCAGGCAACGACAGCGCTCCAGTGGGATGAGCTGAACTGGACCTGAAGCCAGAAAAGGAGATGGCTAGGGGCGAGGACCGTCCCAGGACAGGGGGAAGTCTGAGTGCGGGCCCAGCAGAGCCCCCGGCGCAGGCCATGGGGAGAGGGCAGCCCACGATGCGTTGGAGGAGGCCGCAAAGGCCCGGTGGCCTGTCCACACGACGCGAGCCCTGAAGCGGAAAGTCACTCTGCAGAACTGGGTGGGTTTTCACGGCCACTGCTACCGCCTCGGGATGCTGCTGCACCCAACAGGCCCGCACCATGGGCACCCCGGAGGCTTTCCTGGGAAGGAGCTTGGGAGGCCTTCCTTCCTAGTTCGTCGTTATCTGGAAGCGCCACTGAACCCTGGCGACCTAAACCGCAGCAAACCAGCCTCCATGGACACACGGGTGGTGACTGCTCCGAGGCGCCCTGGCCCCCTGCAGGGAAGGTGCCTCTTCCACCACTCAACTGCAACTGCCCTCAGGCCAGATCCCCTGGTTGGGTGCCACCAGGCTGGTTCCGACTCAGCGACCCAATGCCCAATCATGGGAAACACGGCCTGGGCGGTCCTGAGCCCCCGTGCCATCCTCGCCATTGTTCCTGTGCCCGAGCCCCTTGCTGCAGCCACGGTGCCAGCCCAGCTTGGCGAGGGGCTGCCTCTGTCGCTGTCCCTCTGTTCACCCCGAGAACAACAACGCTTTGGGGTGGAGGTGGGGGGCGATGGGGATGGAAAATCAGAGAGGGACAGGAAAAGCAGCTACGAAGTGAGGGGCAAAGGAGGAGGAACAGAAAATAGTGTCACGGAACAAGAGGGGGAGCACGTGGAAGAGAAAGGGGGGTGCAGGGGGGCGGTCTTACCTCTGAACTCGCCTGCAGCAGCAGGCAATTATCCAGGAACAGAAGTGAGCGGTCAACAGACTTCCTGGCTCTTTTGACAGAAGTTGCTTCTGCACGAGATGCCTCCGCGTCTGAGAGGCACTGGAACCAGTCTGGCTGCAGCGCCCGCTGGACCGCCATGAATTTGTCGGCGGTCAGTTCCACTCGTCCTCCAACACCCCACACAGACACAGACTGCCGTGGGACAAAACAACCAGGAATCAGCCATAGGAAGTCACAAAGAAGGGTACAATGAACCAATACTAAACGCAATTCTTCTTTGCTTTTATAGACGGAATGGCAATTCAATACCCTCTATCTTCCCCAAGCCCACTGCCCCCGAGTCCATTCTGACCGTCACCCTATAGAACTATTCCGACTGGAGGTAGTAAAGTTTTCACGAGAAGACACGTGAGCAGCCAGTGGGTTTGAACCGCTCGCCTTGTGGTTAGGAGCCCAATGCTTAGCCCACAGAGCCACCAGGAATCTTATCCTGAATATGATGGGTAACAAAAAGGTTTCCTGTGCGATCTTCCAAAGGCTCTAGAGAACAGACAGCCCACATAGAATACTTCAACGGCCACCCAAGCCCAGTCCCCTGCTCACCCTCCCAAATTGTCACATTTCTAGTCCAGGCGTCTATTCTCCTCTCCCCTCTCCTAGTCTCTCTGTTGCTCTTGTGAACACCACAGACACGAATCCTTTTGTCTTTGATCACACTGTTCCTTTTGGCTGACATGCCTGTGCCCTCCCCACATTTCCCTGCCTGGTAAAATAGCGAGAACCCCTCAAGACACAGGGCTCATCAATCACCTCCTCCGACATGTCCCTTAAGCCATCAAAGCCTCGTCTAAGCTCCTGCCGCAATTTATACTTCATTCTTGTGTAGAGAAGGTAGCACTGATGGCGTCATGGCACACCAGACTGACCAGTGCGTCCCAATGGATGCTTGTGTCTCAAAGCACAGATGAGGGCCTCACACCTTTGTACCCTTCAGGAAACAGAATCATGTACAAAGACACAAATCCTGTGGGCATTCCTCTCCATGCAAGACCTCAACAAGGACACAGACCGAGGCTACAAGGAGCCCCTCTAGCATCCAGCAGCCTAAGGTGACCGCTTCCTTGAATCATCTTTCCCTGACAAAAGGGGTAGTCAATTGGGGGTACTGTATTTTCTTTGGAATTCACATTTTTAAATAAAAAGAAGTAAATGTAAGGCAAAATAGCCCAAACAAGTTATCACAGCCATGTGGAGGTTAATAACATAAGTGCGACGAAAGCGGGTGTGGTGCGAAGACAGAAGCACAGGCTGTCGCCTGGCCACACTGCTCTCCTCAGACGGAGATGTCCACACAATGGTGTGGACACTTGCAGCCAAGTCCTTCTGATGCTGTGGGTCACCAACGGACACCTTCAGCTGTGACCCCAGTTCTTTCAGAGTCTGTCTTAAAAGCCCATGGACTCACACAGAGCTTCTACTATATAGAGTTACAGATGTGATCGCATTCATCAGCAACTTTCCCCACACTCCCGGAGGCTGTTAAATCTGCAAATAAAGTGTACTGTTTTCTTCTCCCATCAGAGCAGTTTCTTTCTTGCATCCCCCCCAACCCCCACCCCTCACAATATGAAAAAGCGGAGGACACACTCTTACCTTAACCCCATCTCCAGGCAACCCCAGCCTGATTCCTGTAAAACCTCCCCACCCCATTAAAGTCTTAGAAATATAAGGAAGGCACAAAGTGCTCAGAAACAGGCCAGCCTCCCCAGCAACGGAATGCTGGCATTGAGGGTCTCAGTGAGCCGACGTCCTGCGCACAGCTGTACTCTTGGACACTGAGCACCTACCTTGTTTGTTATGTAACCGGCGGGACAAGGGCTGACTGGATCATGCAGGGAGCAGTAGGAGAGAGACTCTGGCATGCCTGTTCAAACATAAAGAAGGACCTTTGAGAGCACACACCCGAGATCACACTGCTCTGTAACACGTCGTCTTCACGATGAGTACCGCCGGGCAGAACAACTCGACACGTGGCTACCTGCTCTGGGAACTATGGAAGGCTGGTCAACACGAGTCAAAAGGTAACTTTGAAATCTACTATCTACAATCACATGGAAAGGTCCTTGTCAAACGGCAAAGTGAGCTGCTACAAAGAAGTGTCTTAAAGTGCAACAAAGTGTATCACTCTGTTGACCACACTCAATTTGCTTTGGAGAAGAATTAACATCAACTGTGTTCATTTGTGGAATAAGTGGACTGCTAACTGGAAATCTGGCGGTTCAAACCAGCTGCTGCTGGGGCAAGATGAGACTGTCCACTCCTGTAAAGATGTGCAGTCACAGAAGCAGCCCAAGGGGCCGCTGTGAGCCAGAACCGACTCGATGGCAGTGGGCTGGGTTGGGGAGGCTGGCTCTGGAGCCCCAGGGTAGCATAAGTGGTGCACAAACTCAGTGGATAACAAGAAGGCTCTGAGCCGACTCAGAGGCCTCTTGGCAGGAAAGCCTGGTGATCTACTGGTAAAATGCCAGCCACTGAGAGCACTATGGAGCACAGCTCTCCTGATGACTCACGGGCCATCAACAGCAGTGGCTGGCTGGGACGACAGAGCGGGAGCTAACGATAATACTGGGAGAAAGGGAGTAGAAAGAGAAGATATGGGAGAAGTCTTAGAGGAGAGGTTGGAGACCAGTGGCCAGTAGGAGAGGAGAGAGCAAGAGCAGTGAATTCATATATGCTTATTCTCAGTAGCATCCAAAGGGGATTAGCCACTGAAAAGATGAATTGGTCAAAAGGTCACTTCATCTATAACAAAGCTGTCCTGGACATTGTGTTGAGTACTCCCTCAATGCAAGAACACTTTGTTCTATTAACCTGGCATTCCATGATGTTCATCTTCCCGACACAATCACTGAAGACAAAGCGGGCGCATAAGGAAATGTGGTGAAGAAAGCTGATGGTACCTGGCTATCAAAAGATATAGTGTCTGGGGTCTTAAAGGCTTGAAGATAAACAAGCAGCCATCTAGCTCAGAAGCAACAAAACCCACATGGAAGA